ATAAGTCTGTTGTTGTTAGCATCCTTGAAAGTTTTCCTTTTTGACTTCTGTAGAAAGTTTAGAGTGATATTTAACAAGGACTGGTACAATTTCCCTGCTGTGCCTATGGGAGCGAAATTCCCTCAGCCTGAGGGAATGTGTGAAGCTATGTCAGGGGAGGTTTAGGTTGGATATCAGGAAAAGTTTCTTCACCCAGAGGGTGGTTGGGCACTGGAACAGGCTCCTCAGGGAAGTGGTCACAGCACCAAGCCTGAGAGAGTTCAAGAAGTGTTTGAACAACGCTCTAAGGCACATGGTGCCTTGCTACTCTTGGGGTAGCCTGTGTGGGGCCAGGAGTTGGCTTTGATGACCCTAGTGTGTCCCTTTCAGCTCAGGATATTCTATGATTCTGTGATTCTATGAGGAATAGAATCACAGAGGAAACTTCATCAGCATGTTGCACTGCACAGGAATTCTGCTGAGGTGTGATGTGAATCTTCCCTGACACAGTGGATCCCTTTTACATCAGGTAAAATCTAAACTTAATAAAATCTTTCCATAGTGGAGACGTCAGCATGTTTGCTCTAGACACAAAAGGAGGGCATGTTTAATTTCCATGAGCTCTGGAACCCCTCTTATTGACTTCATCAAGACCTGGCTCCGGTTAGGAAATCATAAACTCACAGTTATGGTGGGCTTTCCTCTGCCCCTGGCGTGTCAGGCTCTTTAGTAACAGTAAAGTTACTGAAGTGAAGCTCCTGGAGCAGCACATTTCTCCTGTTAACCTCAGAACTTACAGGTTATTTCTACACCAGAAGGTGAAAAATGGGAAAAGGAAGAGGAAAATTATCCTAGTCTCTTCCACTTCATGTCCATTTTGTTGGCTCTTAGCCTTGCAGTCATTCAGACTTGAGGTGCCTCATCTCAGCATGAGCTGTATGCAGTGCCTGATTTTGCTGTTTGTTTTTTGGGGTTTTTTTCCTAGATATTTACCTTTATGTGGAATGGTCCATGCTATGTACACACATATTTTTCTCAAATACAGATTTAGGGACTTGGGGATGAGTAGGTCAGATAAGGATGTCAAAAATTTGGGCATGTTTATGTGGCCAAGAAAATTCTACTGAAAGACTGCTTCTATACTAATAAATGAAACATACCTTATACTGTTCTTGGCCTTGAGGTTTACTTCTGTGCAATGGTTGTCTCACCTTCCAAAACATGGTGGCTCTATGCTGACTTATTATTGGGAGTGACCCCTGTTCCCTCCTAACTCTTGAACTATGCACAAAAGTGGTTTGGGGGAGTGCTGCTGGAACAGACCAAAGCCATTCCAGATGCTGTGGTAATAACATGCTACAGGTAATAAAGTTCCTGTGCCCAGAGTTGTTTCCCACCACTATTGTGCCACAGCAATAGTAGACAACCCTGTGTTTAGGGAGAATGGAGCCAGTGAACTGGGCTGACATGTTTCCAGTCCCACCTTCTCCTGCAGGCCACAGAAAAAAAAAGGGTGGGTCCATGCTCATGTCCCATATGTTTACTACTTCTTCCTTAAATCAAGCTTCAGACCTTAGGCTGTACTCAGTGATGGAATAAGGATTTACAGCATGGAAGACTGACCCTGTTTGGTGTTGACCAGACACTTAGCTGACAAATAGAAAAAGCCTTCCTTGTAGTCCCAGAGGAGGGAATTGTATTAATGTATCCTGAATGATGCCTGACTCATCCTTATGTGATAGCACATCATATTGTCACTGAGGGAGATAGAGCTGACCAGACCAGAACTTCCATCATTGTATAATGGACATGTGCTGGGAATATGGATCAAAACTGTAACACTTCCCTCCCCACTGCTACTCTAAACTGCATTGAGCATCGAGAAACACTATGGATAATCAGCACAGAAAATACATCAAATGTGGGTTTGAAACATTCCAGTTGGATAGGCAAGTTGCCTGTTACCAAAGGCTTACGGCTTAAGCAACTGCTGTCCTGAAAGGCTGTTAAAAACAAATTGTGAATTGACATCTCTGTCTTTGCAGCCCTGGAGCAGAGTGGCTGCCTCGCTATTTCGCAATGGAGAATCTAAGCGTAGCAACACAGGGCTTAGTCTGCTGAATAGTGTGCAGTATTGTGTAATTTAATAACATTAAACTAGGATGTTCTGATAATATTATTTGAAAGCTCTTTATTTAATATCATTTATATTTTACATGTCAGTTGAATTTGGGGAAAAAAGATTTTAGAAGAAACTGGGGGGAGCATGGTAGGAAATTGTGCAAGGTACTTATCTGAGACTACATCACATGGTCTGAAAAGCACAGCTTTTGCTTTTATACACATAGTCTTGGCGACTCTCCCACCAGCAACAATAGTGCTCAGACTCATACTGATGTCACTGTTGAGTTATTTAATTTGACTGAATGAGATTAATGTGTTTATTTAAAACCTTAGTCAAAATGGAAAAGAAAATCTCGGGACAATACTTTTATGTGAACATGTATGTTTTCACATCTGATGATTGTAATGTTGCATTAACTTATCAGGAGCAGTTGTTTACACATGCCAGTGCCCAGGAGACCCCCTCAGATAAGAAGTGTGAGCCATTTTCCCTCCCAGCATAGAGCAGAGACTTCTACACTGCTACTGGTCCGGTGGGCTTTCGTCCCAGGCTTTCCTTGCTTCCTGTTGCTGCTTTCAGGGTTGATCCACAGTGATCCCAGCATTGTTTTATTTTCTCATGTAAGGATGGGCTTTGGTGCTGCCAGGCAATGACAGCAGTATGATGGTGGATCCTCCACAGGTTCTCACCAGGGCAGTGAGGGACAGACACCTCCACTGCACAGGATGTCCGGATAGACTGGTGCTGGCTTCTGCAGCCTGAGCCTGCTCCTGTAAAGACTGGAGCCTGCCTGCCTAAATTTTATCCACATTATGTTTTACAAACAGATAGAGGGGGTATTTCCTTTGATAAATCACTCTGATTTTCCTTCATTCTCACATATACCCTCTAAGTGTTTGGAATAGACTTTGGTTTTGTATAGAGGCATTAGTAACTATCCAGTTAAATACTCCAGGTCATTGGACTTTTACTAGTGCAGAGCAGGGGAAAAAATCTGGAATCTGAAGTTTCTTTTTGTGTGGTGGGACAAGTTTCCACAGTTCTATGGAATAGATTTTTGACTGTTGAAGGACATGAGCAAGGGGGTTTCTGCCGTGCTCTGTCAAGAGCCTCTCTTGTCAGTTGAGGACAAATGGACACACACATAGGTTGATAATGTAGAAATTGCATAAGCCAGAGATCAGTGCTCTGGTGGGTGCCTGAAGCACCTGCCTGAATGTGTACCTGTTCTTCTTTCCTGTTCTTTAGTTCCTCTGTGCATATTTTCATGGTGCTTGGCATATGATAGTCTTGGGGAAGAGCAGCTGCTGCTACCAAAGAGTTGCTTTCATGTATTCTTCTCTGTGGCGCCAAGTGCTTCCATCCTCCTAGTGCAGTGGAAGGCATTTGGGACTTAAGCCCCTTCCCCTACCATTGCTTTTTTTGTGGAGGAAGGGAAAAAGCTTGTTATGTTTCCATGTATCTGCATTTCTCAGGGTGATGGACATCTCAAAGGGAAATGCAGTGGCATAGGGATTGGCATGAGAACAAAACAGAAGAGCTGGGAGAAAAACAGCTCTAGGCAGTCCTTTGTCCTCAGTAAACATCACAGACTGCCCAAGAGGCTGTGCTACCCTGGGCCATGTGTGCTCACACTGCAGCATGCTCCAGAGCTTGTGGTGCCGAGGGTATCCGAGTATGCCAAAGAACCAGTCTTTGGGATTGGCCTCCTGTCTCACTGTGTTGTACCTGCTCCTGCACACGGCGTCCCCAGGTGCCCTTTGAACTCTTACAAGACCTGTACATTTAAGGAAATTGCACAAAAATATGGTTTGTGAAGCTCCCTGTGCTGGGCAACATCTGTCTCCTCAGTGGCTGCACCTAAGTGGTGCTGAGGACTGTGAGCAGGCCTTTATTGGTGGGGCAAAAAGGTCCACAAGGGTGGGCTGGGGCAGTCATGGAGCTGCTTTTCTAGAGGCATCCATTTGGAAGCTGCCCCCTCTCCTGTTTTAAGTGCCCTCTGTGTAGTTCAGACCTTTGGATTTGCTATGCACAGGGGGTCCATGAAATATATTTAAAGCAGTAAATATCTTGACATACAAGGGCATTTTTTCCTCAGAGTTCCAGTCAGTGGAAATATGTAATTTTCAGCTAAAATTAGACTGGCTCCAGCTATATGAAGAAAAAAAAAAAAAAAAAAAAAAAAAAGAAAAACCCTCAAGAACTAAACTCTCTCTGTTGGACTTTTTCAGATGTAGCAACTCCTAGCAAAAATAACGCAGGATCCATCCAGCACAAACTGTGTCCAAAAATCTGTGATTTGGATCCAGAAAGCTGTGAACTGTTGAAGAGAGAGAAATAGACTGTATAGGCAAAAAAGGCTTTTCTCTTCCATGTAAGAAAATATAAATAAGTTTAGAGAATACTAGTAAATATTTAAAAATACTTAAATGAAATCTAGGAGAAGTTTAATTTTGCAGCTAATATTTTACAACTCTTGACAGTACTGTGAGATTGGAGTGGCAGAGAACGAGTTGAAATCCCAAGTGTTCTGCTCATTGTTTACATAGAATTTGATATTACAGATTTATTTTCATAGAAGATGATTGAGCTGAACTTACAGCTACCAGCATATAAAAAAGAGGATAAATTTTCTTTTGTACTAAAAATAATCTTAGTCCTGCAACCATTTGTCTGGTGCATTAAACTCTAAACACAAGTTGAAGTGACTGGATACTTCACAATTTCCATGGTCCAACTCTAAAATGAGTGGCATGGATAGTGTGGAAGAGAGGCTTGAGCCCAAAATAAACATTAAAAACCAAACAGAAAACCACTGAAAATTAACTACACATTTTGAATGATTTCTCTTTCAAAACATTTTATTGAAGGAACAATGGAAATAGTGTGTGAAGCCTAACCATGTATTGTGTTGCTGTTCCAGGCTTCATCAGCAGTTTCTGGATGTTTGGAAAGTTCTGAAACCCACCCCGTCGGACTACTTGTAACCAGTGCCTAAGACTACAAAGACGTACGTGTGAAAGAACTTCTCTTCCTTCTTCCACTGAAGGAAGTGTCCATCACAACACTGTGGAAAATCCGTGCAGGCCTTGCAAGGCAGAAGAACAGTTTGTGCTTCTGTTGACACTCGTGCGCAATCTCTGCTTCTTATGCACTCCAACACCCCTATCAGTTCCTTGTTCTCCTTCACCAGCCCCGCAGTGAAACGGCTGCTGGGCTGGAAACAAGGAGATGAAGAAGAAAAGTGGGCAGAAAAAGCTGTTGATTCCTTGGTGAAGAAATTAAAGAAGAAAAAAGGAGCCATGGAAGAACTGGAGAGGGCTCTGAGCTGCCCAGGTCAGCCCAGTAAATGTGTCACAATCCCACGTTCCTTGGATGGGCGGCTACAGGTGTCTCACCGCAAGGGGCTTCCCCATGTCATATATTGCAGAGTGTGGCGCTGGCCTGACTTACAATCTCACCATGAGTTGAAACCACTGGAATGTTGTGAGTTCCCTTTTGGCTCGAAACAGAAAGAAGTGTGCATCAACCCCTACCATTACCGGCGGGGGGAAACCCCAGGTAATTATGTCATCTGCAAATAATTCGCATCTCTGTGTTAGCTCTTGCTCCGGCAGGTCTAATCTTGGTGCATCCTACAACAGTGCTCTGAAATGTGAAAAGGCAGGCTCCATCTGATGGAAGGATCTTGGGTCTTGCCCTGCCTGCTGCTATCACAGCTCTGGCAGCCAGGACTAGGGAGGGAGTAAGGAGCCCCTCTCCCGTTGGGGTCTGAGTCCCGTCGGACCCCTGAGGGCACCCGGATCTTGTCCAAGGTGCTGAAAGCAGCTTCCTCTCCATGGATGTGGGTGCTGAATCCTCGCTGTCTGAACTGGTGGCCATTTGCATGAAGTCTGAGCACCAGCCTGGCCTCACCAACGTGGTGAGATTTATGTCTCATTGAAATCCAACAGTTGACTCATTAAGCCCCAGGAAATACTAGCTTTCTCTTTAAAGATAAGAATTGCAGTAAAATGGCATATTTTGCAATGAATACGAAACCAGGTCAGTTGATTCTTCCTAAAATACCTGGTGGCCTGCCTTAAGTGGGATTTACTTACCTAAATGGAGAGTTTATGTATAATAAATCCACCAGGTTCCCATAAAAATTTGAAATTTTCTACTGATAATCCTCTTTGGACTTCACTAAAAACTTATGACCTTACTGAAAAGTCATTTAATTGGGCTTTATGTCAATGAAACAGCTGTTAAAAAATTGTAGTGTTCAGTGTTGACTTCTGTAGGGATCTTGGAAAGCAGGGCTGGCAAAGGTCTTGAGCAGTCATCCTGTTTTCCTCTGTCCAGACTCCCAAACCAAACCAAATTACCAGGTACGTTCCTGACAGATATTTTCCTAATGAGCTCTAAAAATCCCATGTGATAAAGGCTCTACAACCTCCCCAGGCAAGTGAAGCTATTGCTTTGCTATCCTTACAGTTCAAAATGATTTCTAATGTCTAACTTAGCTCTCCCTTACTGCCAAAAATCACGGTAATTTAATTTACTAATGGATACAGTTGGTAAGTGTATACTTTTTATTCTGAGATTACTCCTTGTCTGGCATGAACTTTACTCTGAGGTGACATTAGGATCAGATAAGTGAACTGTGGGATGTTTCTTTTCACACAGATGAAATAAGGGAAAGACATTTGTTAACATTTGTTAAACACCAGGGGCTGCTTCCTCTTCTGATAATCCTTCCAGTGCAGCAGAGCTGTCACTGTGAAGTCGTATCCAATCTGCTGTAAACATCGTCCAAACTTTTATATTTTACAGCTACACTGACTGGTGCTTGTTGTCAACAGTTTTCAGGGGAAAGAGCTAATCCCATGCCTTGCTAAAGTAAACTCTTCAATAATTTAAGAAAAGATGCTCATAAAATATCCCATCTTTTGTTTATTGGACTTCTTTATTTGCAGGCTGCAGTCTTTAGTGTATCTTAATTTCTTCTGGTGTAACTTCAGTGCAGTTAATTGAGTCTCCTCAGTGCAGTAGCTGACAGCATTGAACGGTGCTGACTTCAACCCTGGTTTTCTCATCTGTTCAGTGCCAGCTAACAAATACTGCTAATGGAATGGTCCAGCAGCTGCTAAATGGCTGTCAAAGCCTGTTGTTCTGATCCTGAAACTCAGAAGCTTTCAGCTGTGAACATGTCTCTTGTTTGTCAGTGCAGACTGGCAGTATCCGTGCTAGTAAAGTAGAAGGTGACAAGGTGCAGGTCTGCTGAATTGGTAACACAATCCCAGGAACAGCTTTCACCCCTGTGGACTCGTGTGGACTAGCAGCTCTCAGAGTGCAGGGGTTAGCCCACAGGAGGGACTTTGGGCACGTTGGACTTGGCCACCTTGTTTTGGAGGTGAAAGTGAGTGCAACTGTGAGGACACAAACTGTGTTTGTGCTGTGCCAGATCTCCAAGGATGCAGGAATTGTTCTCAGGCCGTTGTATTCACTCCTAGAACTCTGATTACAGGGACAACTCAGAAGCTGAAGCTCACAGTTACAGAATGTTTGTATCATATAGCAAAGAGTGCAACCCACTCAGGTGTTCTGGGGCAGCAGCAGGAGAGAGAACTTGCACCACTGCAAGTGGTGCAATGCCGCTCCAGTTAGAAAGCAGTGCTGCAAGGAGATGTTGGCAAGGCAAGAAAATAAATGAGCTTCATGAGAAAGTGGCAGCAGTGAGATCACCACAGAAAGGGCTGGGAGTGGCTGATTTAGGTGCTGGTTTGTTTAAACAACAGTTCTCTTTAAACTGCAGGAAATCTGCATCTTGGCTGTTGGTGATCTTGGGCTTATATGAGATTCTCTGAGTTTCATCCTCTGGAGCCAAAGAATCTCCCACTGATTAAGTCAATGCTGTATTTTTTATAATCCACATACCAGTGTTATTTTCATACAAATGTCCACCCTTTTGGAGATCATTTTCCATCACTGCAGTCTTTCTTGCTGAATCAACCACTCCATGACCAGATCCATGAACTTTAATCCAGAACTAATTAGTTGTGTCAAAGATGGGAGGGCCTCATCCTTTGACAGCCTGGCAAATCCCTAGACCTCTGTTACTAGAGAACAGCATTGAAATCTGGTCAGAGATTTAGGGATTTCATTACCTCTTCTCTGTCCTCCGGCTGCCCAGTCCCATTTTAGGTTCTGCTACTGAAACTGCACAGATTACACATGACTTTTATTGCTGCTACAACTTCTCAGGTCTGCTGAATAGCAGGTGCCACTTAGAAAAAAAAGCAGAAAATATTTCCTCTATGTGTGCAACACCCCACTGCAGAGAGGAGATAGGCCACCTAATCTGAAGGAGGTAGGTATGTTGGTTATGCTCTGCTTCCCCCTTCATTGTTGCTTTCAAAGAGCTTCTCAGAAGTCTGGTTTGTTGTCAACAGAAGCTGCCTAAACACATACCCTATTGTTTTTTATAAGAGATCATTCATATGTAAGTATTGCAAATTTGAGGGTGCACCATTGCTGTAGACAGGAGAATTTTTGACTTAAACTAACTGACTGCTTTCATGAAGGCTGAGTGGGACTAATATGTGATAGCCTCCCAGGTGGAAGACCACCTGATGGCTTCACTGTTGGCCATGTGTTTGGGAGTAGTCATGGGCACAGAGAAGAGATGGATCTCACTGAAGAGCAGTCTCCAAAAGTAGTAAACTGTGCAGAGATGGATTAATGTGTGAGAAATCGCAGTGTGGATGTTGTACCTGAAATTAAAATGAGGTAGATAAGTTTCCTTGATAGCATCTGAAGTCACAGGCACAGCCAGGTTCCCAGCAAGAACTGTTGATGCTAAAGGGAGTGGGAGAAAGGTATGAAAAGCAGTAGCAGGACTTAGGACATGACCATCTTTGTCTTTAGTTGAGCAAAGATCATCAACACTTCAGCATGCAAAGAAGGAAGGATCCACCTCTGGCTCTTGGTGGACAGTAGCAGGTAGAAGAAAAGGACCCCAAAGAGTGGAGAAAATGTGGGTAATTTATGAGGACAAACAGGTCCCAAAACACTCAGTTACTCAGTTTTATGCCTCTGGTCACATTTCCTTCAGAGTGGTTGAGCCCTGGAGAGTGACATGTTACCAAAAGAACAAGGAGAACGAGGCCCTGGGGGATATTCTTAGCCACAAACAAGAACATCTCGGAATGCTTCCCCACCACAGAGGTTTTAGCCCTCTAGGCAGTCACAGAACAGTCAGTGGAAAGAGTGAGTGAGGTGGCAAAAAACTGTTCAACAGAGCAGAAATTAAGAGTGCCATGGTCAGAGCTGGGAAGGAGTTCAAGGCTTGAAAATTCTTCCTGCTGACTCACTCAAGGCAAATCAAAGGCTTTCCCTGGCAAGCGCTGTTCACACATCCAGATTCCCAGCTTTCATTTAGAGAAGGAGTTGAGTTCTCACAGGGCTGAAGGCAGCAGCTCCCTCAGCTGTGGTACCCACAGTGAGGTGTCAGCCTCTCAACACTGCAGGACGTTGCTGCACACAGCTGCCCCTTGCTCAGCACCTCTGCTGGGAGGAAAGGGATCACCAGCTCCTCATTTTTGAAGCCAGTCAGAGCTGGCTGATCAGCACCAGACCTGACAAGCATCATGCCAGTTTCATGGAGCTGCTGTGGAAAACTTCAGAAGCAGCAAAGGAAAACTCCAGAAGCAGCAACAGCTCACAGCCTGGAGCTGTTCACAGGAGCAAGGGATGGAAGGAATACAGCTAACCAAAACCGTATCTGCATTGATGATACCGGTCTTGTCCCAGTACATAGCAGTAAAATATTTTATTCCTCTCCACTGACTGTGAAGAGATCCACAGGGGACTGGGCAGTGCATGCCAGATGTGAATACTTGTATTCCTATATATTGCCTGTATGAGTCCTCCCTGGATGTTTAAAGCTAAAAGAACAGCAAAGAAGCAGAAATACCTTTCTCTACCAAACAACTTAAGAAAGTGGCAGCAGATTCTTCATGCCAAAAATAGGGGCATATGAGGGGCAGAAGGAAAGAAAGTAGTCTCCAGAGTACCAATCCTTGTCCTGGCCAGAGGCTAATTAGCAATCCATTGTGCCAGAGAACCATGTATGTGTGGTGCATTAACAGGTATCCCAGTGCCTATATTCCTGGGCAGGTGAGAAGATAACTTCTGCAGTGAACTCCTTGCCATCAGTCCAATCTTTTGCATAATGTTAGGGCTCAGTTCTTCAGGTTATGGGTGACTAGCAAATTCCCAGTGGTATATTCCATTGGGTGGGCAGACAAGTTGTTTAACCCTGCCTCTACTGCAGCATGGTGCTACATTGAGAAAGAAGCTGTAAACCCATTGTTAGCACCGGGCACTGTAAATGCCCCAGCTCCCTGAGCAACTGATGTGCATTCCAAGAAGAGTTCCTGCAGCCTCTTCTCATGCACATGTTTTGCATTATCTATACATTATTTGCTTTATTCAATAGCAATTATTCCACTCTTTCATTAAGCTGGATAAATGAGAGTTTGCTGTAATTAAAAGTTGTTAGCTAACCTACCCAAAAATAATTTGCCTTACCTAGACAGCCTTTTGGCCCAAGCAATATGTTAAAACATGTTCAAACTGTATATTCCCATCAACATTTAAAAACAAGAATGTACGTTGCTATTTGTTTCCATAAACTAGTAAGGATAGACTGGAAGATGATGTGCTGCTGGGTTTTAGGCCAGAGGAACTCTGGATACTAGGTCAGTCAATACAAGCCTGCTGAATTGTCTCTAATGCTGGGACAATTCATCCTTCTCACAATAACTCAAATTGCCTCCTTATCTTCTTTGGTGGCTTTTAGATCTGCATGATACCAACTGGGAATTCATTCCCCCTACCTGTACTGAAAGCCTTAACTAAGATAATTAGGCACTATGTGAGCTAGTAAATAATAGAGAAATCTTGGAGTATGGGAATCACCCATTGTAGGGGCTGCTCTCCCCACTAAGGACTATGAAAGACACAGTTAAAGCCTCAGGTTGAATTCTCATATTCAAAATTATTCAGCAAGCCTCCTTGTGTTCCAGTCTAGGGACTGCATCTTCATAGGTATCTCACTAGTCAGGATTTTCAAAATGTTTTGAGTCTTAATGCTACTCTTGCTTCTCATGTGTCAGAATCCAGAGTAATTTGGATCAGCTCTGGGTTTCTCAAAGGGACAGTGCTGTTAACAGCGCTGACAGTGTGAGATAAAAGTGAAGAGAGTTTGTGAAAGGGCAGTATCTTCTACTAGACTAATTTTTAAATGGGTTAATTTGGATTCCAGTTTTCTGGCCTTCATTTTTCATGTCTTAAATATGAACCACTGACATATGCCTTCTTATGCTAGATCTTTTCTAACAATATTGCAAGACCTAAATTGATATTGTTGCAATGTTTGAATTGCCATTTACATTTCCTTTCAAAGATCCCACTGTCTATCTGACAGCATTTTCAAGTACCTCACAACATTTCAGATCTGGTCTCTGGCTTCAGGTCTGTACTTCCTTTTTCCCATCTGTAACACACTGGTAGTAAAATATGCAGTGTATTGGTACATATGTAGTGATATGTATGTAGAGCACTATTAATTGGTATTAAACTTGGCTGTGAATTTGGCACATCCTGGTGATAATATTTAGAAAACTTTTGATGTGTTCATTTTTTGAAGAAGGGAGGAACCGATAACTTTGAAAGGCAGAGATGTACCGCCTGAATTTCTGCATGCCGTATTTGTGAATTTTATGGTACCTTTCTCAAGTCAAGATTCCTTATTTTTCATGTGCAACTGCTGTAACTGGCTGCAGATCTGGAGGAAAATGTCCAAGAATTCAGCTTTTGAATCTTGGGTTTGGACAGGTTTGTTACTCTTCAATGACTTGTATACAGAGAGCAACATTTGAGCAGCATGGAATATGCCTCTTTTTAACTTACAACAAGATACACTTTCAAGAACACAGCTTTAACTATTTTCTCTGTTGTTTTGTTTTCAGTGCTACCTCCTGTACTCGTTCCAAGACACAGCGAGTTTAACCCTCACCTCAGCCTCCTTGCCAAGTTCCGAAACACTTCTCTGCACAGCGAGCCACTGATGCCACACAATGCCACTTATCCAGATTCTTTCCAGCATCCTCCATGCACCCCTTTCCCATCATCTCCCAGCCACATGTTCTCCCAGTCACCTAACAGCATCAGCTACCCCAACTCACCAGAAAGCTCTTCTGGACCAGGGAGTCCCTATCAGCTCACGGGTAAGAATGAGCTTTGGGACACCCTGACTGAGGCATTTGAGGTCAGGTGACAATTCTGTGCTCCCCCCAGACTGTAGCTGCAGATTAAACTGTTGGATAGAATAGACTTGGAATGTGATTTCTTGTGACTGTCTCCTGTATATTGTATCTCAGTCCTTCTGACAGATGCTCAGGAGATTGAGAACTGTAGTCATCCTGCTCCTAGAAGTGCCTGGGTGAGATGTCATGATTACTCTGGGGAAAAATTGAGGAGACAAGCAGGTGTGGCAGGCCACCTTCTATCCAAAGCTGCCCATCCAAGCTTCTGGTGCAATTCATGGAAAAGAGCACTTGCAAGACCTAAGTTAGGGACCTAGGATGGTCAGGGTAGGAACCTCTAGAAACTCCATCAAGGAGACAGGATAAAATGGGGAAACTGGTGTGCAGAAAGTTTTTTAAGTTTATGGCAATCCGACTGACTGTATACATTTCAGAAAGTTAAGGTGTTTAACAATCTGGCCCAACACTTGGGGAAGTCACCAGGCAAGTTCCTGTGACTTTGGAACATGTTCCACAGTTCTGAGATTAGCAGGCTTATGTCACTCAGATTGTTTGTGTTGTGAACTCCTGACTTAGTTCAGCTCTAATTACCTGAAAATTTAACTGTGCTTTTGCTGTTAATGCAACACATCTAAGAGCTAGTTTTAATATCAAAACATGGTTCAGATTCACTTCAGCACTTTAACTTTCAAATAGTTTTAGTTATGTCAGCTTTTTCACAAAGATGAATTCAGGTCAGAATCTTGTAATTTAAGATTTTAGTGTCTCAACTATGAACCATTTAAATTCAGGTGTTTAATGATATGCCTATTTCATTTTAAGTGCAAGAAAGATGTTTATTTTACAAGGTTTTTGTAGCATTTGAACTTCCTTTTAAGTTTAATACTTTCAACACAGTGTGATGTTTTCCCTTCCCTCTTCATTCATTGAATGTGCCTTCATTCATTTCTTCTCTAGATCTGTATTTCTGATTAAATCATATTTAGCAACACTGAAACATTTCATCAAGTAGCAAGACTTGTTTGTCTTCTCCAATATTTTTCTTTCACCTGTGTGTAACTAAGCTGGATTCAGTGGAGCTGGTCCTGACAGGTAAATCAGGCCCATTCCAGCTGTGTAATGACTCTCACTCGTGCATTTAACTGAACTTGGGACCTTGCAAAGCTACTTAGTAATGGAAGTGGCTCAACCTGAGCTTCAGTATATCACAGCACATGGCATACTGATAAGCATGATTTGCCTGTGTAACAATCAGGGATGGAAGGCTATCTTAAGCAAACTGGAGTTGCATCAAGAACCTTGAGAGGGAATGCTGTGACCAAATATAGATGTCAACAATGCAGGTTTCTGCATCTCATGGAATTTTCTATACATTCCCCATAACCCATGGAGGAAAACAGACACTCCTAAAACAAGATTCATTACATCTTCTTGTATGTGTCCAATACACTGTGTCTGCAGATTCCTATTTTGCTTTAGTGGACATAAGGAGATCGAAATGTGACTAGCTTAGGAGTAGACATCAAAAATACCCATATGGCATGTGATTCTGAGATTATATTCCTTTCTGTAACTTATTTTCTCTTCCGTTATTTCTTGATTTTGTTTTACTGTTTTTTGTTGGAGGGTTATGTCATTTAAGTGTTAGAAATATTCCATAGTGTATGAAATTCCTAGGTTTTGAACAGTGCTTAAATAGAATAACATGGCTTACTTGTAAGATTCAGTGGTTGTCTCATGATACAGTTCACAGTTATCCACTCTGGGTCAAGTTGCTCCTTTTTGAGGGCCAGCCAACAGACTCCAAACACCAGAGGGAATTTCAGTCTGGAACTAAGTTAAACCAATCTTAAAGAGGCCCTTGGTCCTGCAAGCTTGTATATGGCTATAATTTTCATACAAGCCCCTTGAGTTTCTCTTCAAATGAGGCAAAACTATACACTTTTAGTGCTTATTCACTGAATGTTATTTTATAATATAAAAATTAAGTCCTTTTTAATTTGGCTTTCTAAAGCCTCCAGCCTTTCTGCGTAATCCCCACTGTAGGGTCACCTTCTGTTTTCTAGCTCATGTTGCTGTAAATGAAACAAATCAAGAGCAGAACAATTGTGACTTGATACTTTTCCTCCCAATGTTTTCATGACATATATTGCTCTTTGATGGGAGACTGAACAAACCAGGAGAGGGACAGACTTCCCTTGCAGGACAGAGGAAAAAAGAACAAGTTTGGAGGGAGTTTTTTCAAGTCGGATTTCTGTAGCTTTCCATAGGCTTTTTTACAGATTATGAAGAAAGAGAGCTTTCTCCCAGAGGATCAAATAAAGTTAGTTTCTGCTCTTAAATTGTCCTCCTCAAGTTTTAAATTAAAGACAGAATTCTGGAAATAACAGATGAAAGTGCACTACTTTCTTAGGGTAACAACTGGTGTTAACAGAGAACTTGATTTTACATGGGTCTAGGCCTGAGGCACTGTTGTGGCCATCCCTCTCTCTTTCAAGCACTGCATATCCAACATGACAGCTTTTCCTTCCCATTTTTGCTGAACATTCAATGGTCTTAATCTGGAGACTGAAGGGAGGCCAGATTCAGATTTGTGCTTTTTTCAGTCTTCTCAAGCCAAACAGTACTGAAGTAGTAAAATACTGGCCAGGAAAAAACAGGAGGAACTTACCAACGTACTGACTTAGGTGTCTTTCTTCCTTTCTTTCTCCTTTCTTTTTTCTTTCTTTCTGTAGTGGAAACTCCACCTCCTCCCTACCATGCAAGAGAACCTCCAGGAATCCACAATGGACGGTCAATGGATGCAATAGCTGAAAGTCAGCTAGTGCTGTCTTTGCCCAACGGAGGTAAATCTGCCAATGGAGAAGCTGAAAGTAAGTACCATTTGTACTATTCTTTAAATAAGAACTTACAAGAAAAATAATTGTTTAAAAAAATTGTTATTTGCACAAGAAGGGTTAGTGATCTGTAATAAGTTTCAGGCAGTTTTGCAGTAAGGCTGTGTGCTAGACCCATCCATTAGCTAGCAGCATAGGTTGATGTAATATTTCCATGAATTATGTGCAAAGTTACAGAGTTTAGACCTTATTTGCATCCATGGACTATTACACTTAAAAAGCTGTTAATGCAGGCAAACACTGTTATCTACATTGTAAAGATTAGCATATCAAATCGGGGATGGTGGGGCAATATAACACACAAAAGCATTATCAATATCGGACCTCATTTCTTTATCACCTTCAGCTCTAGGTTTCAAGTTTAAAACCTTATGGTAGGGAGCTTTTTACTGCCATTTTTGTATTAATGTTATGTTACTGGCTGGCTAGAAAAGAAAAGTACACATTCTAGTGGAGTACAAAGATATTTTGACACAACACCAAAGTCTTTGCTGTCTTTTTTGGTGGGAGAGGCATTAATGGTCAAAGAAGTGTCTGGGGTCCTCCTTGCACCCCTCAAAGCAACTTGGTGACCTCTCCAGCACGGCTTCTGCTACCTTTGGGCTAGTACTGGCTAGTATCCACCATTCAGAGCGCATTGCTGCAGAGTAGGAAGGGGAAATGGAGTTCCTCTGCTGGCTTTTGCTTTGGCTTCCTGCTACTGTAGTAGTAGTTGTTCTTTTAGTCCATCATATTGTGTTCCTAAAGAAGTGTCATTTCTAGACTGAGGACTGAACACTGCACACACATGCACATTAAAAAAAATATTGCCAGCCTTCTGAAACAGCAAGGAGTGTGTATGTAGCATGGAAATGGAGCAGAAGGAATGTGAGGGGATAGTGCTAATTATGGATGGGGACACAGAATGGCCAGATAATAATAAGTTATTAGACACCAATACTTATAAATAAATTGTCAAGCTAGTTTAATCTCTTTATCACAGCCTACCATCCCTGATCACTATCCTAGTGAATATTAGTTGGAAGTTTATTAGAGGTTGTGCACAGAGGTGCTCTGGGGGCAGGCGGGCTCACATGCCTGTGGTGACCAGGCAGGATAAAGTTTCCTAATAATTCCTGTATGACAAATGAGGCTCAGAGATTCTGTTACGTTTTTGAGTCTTTCTCTGTCTCTGACTTAGAAAACCTGGGCAGGGATAGATCCAAAAGAAATGACCTTGCTGACATTCCTGCTTACAGTCCCACATGGAAGCAGAAAGCCTGAAAGTGTGCAAAAATTGGAGTGATTTATTACTCCTGAACTACAGAGTTTGGTATTAGGCTGAAGGCCTAATACAAAAAACTTGGCTCAGTTTTGACTTGCTTTGAGCCCATCTGTCATCCCTATCTCCTGCTGGAGTGCAGAGCAGATGTACCCCTTACTATTTTCAGTGTATAGTTCAGGCCCCAGTTCAGCGAGGATTGCCAGTGCAGTTGATTTAATGCAGTGGAGTTTCCACTTTTAAGAAGTGGGGCTCCTTGAGGCTTAGAGTTAAGCTGATGCACCAACCTTTTGCATGTTTAGGACTTCAGTCATGAAATCAAGAAGCAATGGAAGCTGCTGTTGGGATAAAGTATGACATAAGTGACTGTTTAGATGAAGAGATGGGGGGCTGAGAGTGGGAGGGAATGAGAGAAAACAGAGAAAGATTGTTTAAAAAATATTGCTGAAACCTGAGCAGGTGCTTAACTTTATTTCCTACAGACTTTCGGCCTGTTTGTTATGAGGAACCCCAACATTGGTGCTCAGTTGCCTACTATGAACTCAACAACCGGGTAGGGGAGACTTTCCAGGCCTCCTCTCGAAGTATCCTTATAGATGGATTTACAGATCCTTCAAATAACAAAAACAGGTTCTGCCTGGGTCTACTCTCAAATGTAAACCGCAATTCTACTATAGAAAACACCAGGAGACACATAGGAAAAGGTAAGAGGAAATCCCTCTTCTCAGGAATAATATTCAGAGCTCAGAAGATCCATGCATTGCATGAACAAACCTAGCTGATCCATCAGATGTGCTTGCCTTAAAATCAAATCTCTGACATTACTTCTGAAATAGAAGAAAATCAGAAGGTTATTTTCTGACTGGATAACAATCAGCAGAGTAACTCCTTACAAAGGCTATTTACTTGGCCAGCAAAGAGAAAAATGTTGTTTATAGTTGTGTGTTCTAATTTAGCAGTATGTATTTTCATTTTATTTATTAGAGCTTCTGGCAACTGGGAATATTGCCATTGAAATGCCACTAAAAGGATAATTGCTGGTGCCTCAGGGCTGCTTCTCCTCCCACCAAATAACAAAGGGAGATGGATGAAACACTTAGTAGTTGAGTTACTTAGTCGAAGAACTCTGGTAGAATTGTGTTTGTAGCTTTCCCTCTCCTGCCCCCCACCAGTCTGATTCCCTGCTTTGTCAGCTTTTCACGAGTAAAACTAAGGTTTGTATTCTCCTGCCAGTGGCTGCTGGTGCAGCTCTGTGTGCCCCAGCTCTGGTGTACATGCACCCTCAGCATGCAATGTGACATGCTGCTGGTGCCGAGCATGAGGAGACCACACCTGGACATACATGGCCACACACACTCCATCCCAGCTCCCCAGAGCTGTGTAGGGTTTGATATTCTCCCAGAACTTACTGTTGTTTGTGGTGGTGAGTCAGAAGTCCTGTGCCAGCCACTTCTCCATGCAGATGAAGCTTTGCCCGTTCTGGTACATCCAGTCTAGACTCATTATCTTGCCAACCCAGCCTCTCACCAGTAGCTGCCTGGGAATGCATTTCCCACTGGGCTAATTAACTCTAATTGTTCCACTCTTATTATCTTGTCAACCTCACCTCATTTCCCAGGCCTAGAGCAATATTTTAATTGGCTCATGATAGTCTAGTGTTGAATGACTGAATACGAGGAAGCTCTGAGACAAATGTGATGCATTTTTTTGCAAACAACAGTGAACCTGAGGGCTGGAGCAGGCAATGTTGTGCTAAGCTCTTGCACTTTTCCTCAGAATGAAAAACACTTATGTTGCAGATGCTACAAGTGTGTGCCATAGTGGTTCGTTGTGTGGAGTGCAAATGTGTTGTACATGTAGTTCTAACATACTTAGAAAATAAAGCAAAGCTTTACACCCTGTCAGTGTAAGCTGTCGGAGGGATGTAGATCAAAGCTGAACCTGGCCCTAAAAGAAAAATGACAAAAGATCCCAGCTGTTATTTGGCAATGTTACAGTCTGTGACTTTCTGCCCCAAAAGATGAGGAGACAGAACAGAAATAAAGTTGGGTAAATGCTAATGGTCTTCATCCATTTAAATGTGAAGATCTGTCTTAATTGATCAGAAGTCTTTTAAAGTCCTACACTAGGAATGTGCCCAAGGGAAGGGAGCAGGTTGCCCAGAGAGGAGTTTAATATATCAGAGGTCCTTAATTTTACTGCTGTTCCCTGTTTATGCAAATCCTAAAAAAACATATACAAGTGGAATAGAAGTGGCACCAGTGCAGGCCTGCAGAAGAGCACAGAGCAGCTCCAGAAGCCAATAGTGCAAAGGCTTGGTGGACAGATGAAAGCTGCTGAAATGGATACAATTGTCACATGTTAACACTGGAGAAAAAAAGAGTGAGTAAACAAGATTAGCTCAGTAGGATAAAGATATGTGATTGAATTGTCATCTAGAGTATCAGCGTGAGACCATTTCCTGGAAATACCACATCAAAGCTAAAAACAATCCAGAACACAATGCAACATCTACGAGCAATTGGACCTGTTTCAGCAGTCAGACTTCAAGGACAAAAAAGTAACTTTCAATCGGTGTCAAAAAGATGTGGATGCTTGGAGGCTGCTGAATTTTCAGTTTCTGCAGAGGCAATGAAATACCACTAAAACATATGGACCTTTGATTTGGTCTTCTACAAATATGTATTTAGCTGCCTGGTTTCCTTTAGGGTGCTTTCCTCTAGAGAATGAATACTAGAATAATAGGAATACACACTGATTAGTATTGCATTTACTGCTTTTAAAAAGTTAACAAGAAGAAAACAATTTGTAACCTCTTTTCAGAAACGGCATTGATGTTTTTGTTATTGTAGCACAATGTTTGGGCAATGCCTTTGAAAGCATTCATTTTTTTCAGAAAATGTGTTCCTTAATATACTTTGAAAACTCAGCCTTTAAAATTTTTCACCTTAGTGGTGACCTTAAGTCAGTAGCTACTCCTGAAGATTTGAAATATGGTAATATTTGAATATTTGCATCCTTATTCTTATCTCCCTACCCTCTGTTCTCACTTCATCTGATTATTTCAGACAGCTATATGGACTCCATCAAGATATTTTCTGTCCTTCCCTTTTATCCATTTCCATGGGAAGGAAAGTCAAGTGGTAACAGCCACGGTGTACAGCACCCCACAGTACCTGGTTCGGGTAGAGCTGATGCTTTCCTGTTGCTGCTGTTCCCAGCGCAGCACCAGAGTGTGCTCCGAGCCACAGCCCTGCCACTCGCAGCTCATTTCAGATCTTGTGGGTGCTCAGAAGTCAAGTGATGGGTTGAAGACAGACTTTAAGGCTCCCATCTGAGTCACCCTGGTAGACTATGGGAGAGTGTATTTTTTCCCAGATTCTTTTCCCACTCAACCTGCTTTACCCCGTGCCATTCCCACTTCTGTTTAGAGGCTGGTTTTGTCCTAAGGATGTGCTGCTGCCCCGTGTTGTTATGACTTCAGAATGATGAACAGACTGGGAATATGTAACCAGTCATTGTTTGTATGAAAGACAGCAGGAATAAAACTAATTACAGCTGCATTATTAAAGCACAGTTACCAGTAGCTTTGCAGGCAGTCTACTGAGGCTCTGTGAACATTTGTGTGTGTTTGAAGAGCATACCTAGTATTAGAGAGGAGGATTTTGGTTTTTTTTAGTGGTGGTTTTTACAAGAACAAAGAACTGAGTTCTTCCACCTCTCTTGGCCCTGGGAAGGATTCATTTCCCCTAATCTAGCCATGGGAAGGGTGACTGTCTGGGCATTTTCACAGGATGACTTGTTCCGCTTCAGGTTGTGGCTTCATGCTCACTTTTCAAGCAGTCAGGATCCCCATTGCCACACTTGTACTGATGAAGATCTCACAAGATCTCACTGAAAATAAATTTTGTTTTGTTTGTTTTTAAGTTTATTAGTTGATTCAGTTCCTCGGCCTGGACAGCAGCCCAGTTCTCAGCTGTTGCTGCCAGCATGAAAGCAGGTGTGTCAGCAGGGGCAGGGAATGGGAGAGCCTTTTCAGCACCTGCACAGACTTCCATGGCTTTAAGCTGGCTCTGAGCCTGCACTCTGTAGCAGATGGTGTGACTAATCTGGTTACAGTGCCTCTCTCTATCTATCAGCTAGAGAAGGCTGATAGACACAATTATCATCTTGCAGATGATCCCCAAATTCAAGGTTGCTAAATTAGACTAAGATAAATTCTCCCACCAATTCAGGTATGTTTTCATGCAAGCAGATATCCTTGGTGGATCAGAGTATTTGAAGGGATAGAAGTGCTTCCACCTTAATTTCCCCAAGTCACAGTCAAAATTTGAGTTAGTCTTGGTTAGTCACTTGGGCACTGAAAATTTCAGAAGAAAATCCATCATTTTCTTGCTAAAGATCACTTGGAACAGGATGTGATGAGTAAGTCATATCATGTAAATGCAAATACATGGTTCTGATGTGGCAGATAAAGCAAAATACAGAAAAGTATTTGAAGCACACGTCATGCTGTGTTTTAAATGGGTGACAGTAGGATCCTGTAGTAAAACTACTGCGTGCAGTGAAGTGGGTCTCGGCCAGTGCGCATTTGCTTAACAGCGAAAATACATTTAGCTTTGTAATGCAATAGTGATTTTTCAGGTCTTGGATAGTTTTGATTGATGTTTAGGATATTGTTGACAAGTGTTTGATGTTTATGCATGTGTATTTTGTCAAAAAGTACTATGCCGTTAGGTAAAAGTAGAGCAACCTGCACTGAGAAACAAAGATCCCAGGAAGAATCCTGGGCTTGTAAGCCCAAACCAGTAAAATAATTAATTACTGGCATAAAGTGTGTTGTGAACAATGGAGAAATAATATGTTACTCTTTTTTTTTTTTTTTTTGAAGGTGTTCATCTTTACTATGTCGGTGGGGAGGTTTATGCTGAATGTGTCAGTGACAGCAGTATTTTTGTGCAAAGCCGCAACTGTAACTACCAGCATGGTTTCCACCCAGCCACAGTCTGCAAGATCCCCAGTGGCTGTAGCCTCAAGATCTTCAACAACCAGCTCTTTGCCCAGCTTCTTGCCCAGTCAGTCAATCATGGTTTTGAAGTGGTGTATGAGCTGACCAAGATGTGTACAATTCGAATGAGCTTTGTCAAAGTAAGGATTCTTTGCTTTCTCTTACATCCTTGCTTTTGCTTTCTCTTACCTCCTTTGGTGCAAAACTAGATCCCATCAAATCTGTTTCAAGGGAGGATGTAGATACCCAACTTTCAAATACCAGTTCATACTGCCTGTTTTCAGTATTGCCTTAAACTTACAGGTGCTCAAAATCAATAGCTTTTATGGTCAACCTGAAAATCTCTTAGATTACAAAATTTAGGTGCTCCTTAGTCTCCCTTTGGAAAATAGGTAGAGAATGCATGGGAGTGTTCCCCCACTGATTGTTCAAAAAGCTCAACTCAGACGGGCTCAACCTATAAATGTTGTAGCATGTCTTAGGCAGTTGTGATCTCTCCTATTGTTACTGGTTTGCAATAGAGCTCAACAGAGCCATTGATCTGAAAATAATGTCCTTATGTATTTAGGCTAATTTGCAGTCTCACCAGTACCACAGACTGGTATACATTGTCTTAATCAAGAAACACTGAATCCTTCTTCATCCCTCATTGAGCTTGCAGAGAATTGTTGTTGTTTGCCATCTGCCCAATCCCTGACAAATATTGTCTTACTTTCTGATGACATTCACTCTGGTCAGCCACCCAGCCACAAGCTGTTCTTTCAAGCAGAACAGAAAACCCAAAAGAACATTTTACCTTCCCCCTGTTATTTGGAAGAGAGAGGAGGCTACCAAATCCATTACTGTTCTGATGTCCTTCATATTTGAATTTCACATTCTGACTGCTCTGTGGGAAATCTATCAGTCTTTGTGGGACTTTCTCAAATCTTCTGAATGGCCTTCTCACCAGAACAAAATCTCTCAACTCCTTTTAGCACTTAGGATTTATTTACATGCCTGTTGTAGCATCTAACCCCTGAAGAATGGCAAGTGTTTCAAGATAGTTTCCAGATGATGCTAGACCAGCTTGCTGTAGTGCAGCTGGGGAGAGATGGCAGCAATGTTCAGCCTCTAAACTAGAGCAGATGCACCATTAGAAGCCCTCAGTCCTGCTAGGTACCATAAAAATGACTTGAGTATGTTCTTTGTCTTGCGGATTTGTTTTTACACAAATGACTGAATTGAGATGATTGAATTCTCATCTAAGATACCAAAAAGTGCTTGAGGCTCGAGTCCAGTTTCCTTAAGTTCTACAGAGCTGATGAGTTGAGTCCTACATATCTTTCCGGTCTAACTTTTTCTAGCCATCCTTGAGGACCCATCTTCTTAAGTCTTCAAGAGCATTAAGAGTGCCCTGTAATCTCTCCCAAGAGTCCAAGCCAAAATCTCCATGCCCATGACCATGCTGTTGCTTTGTTCTTGGGAGTGAACTGATATCACTAGTGAAAAAAAAAAAAAAAAAAAAAAAAAAAAAAAAAAAAAAAAAGAAGAAACCCAACAAACAGCATTTTCTTTAATGGAAGACATGAATGGGCATGTTGTTTGTAAAGGCAGTGTAGCCAGTTACACAATATTTTCATTATCTCAGCGATTCAGGGGCAAGCTCTTTGATGTGTTATCTGCCTCCATGCCCAGCACGGCAGCAGAAATGGTGTTTTTGATGCACTATATAACTCTGCTGCTATATTATCACCTTGCTTTGTTGAAATAATAGCAGCTATTATTGTGCCTCAGGCACCAGAAGACCAGTGCAAGGAGTTATTTTGAACTCTTACCCATGACGTCTGGAAAATTGCTATGCAAATCTCATCTAGGCTCTTTCTTCCTGACCTGCAAATACTCTTTTCTGTATTCAGTTTTCCCAAAATATTTCCCTCCCAAGGAGTGAGCCCTCCTGTGTTCCATCTGGGGTCAGGAGTGATCCTGGATGTTGGGGATGCAGTGCCTAGTGGGGCCTGTTGTCTGTCAGAGCCATAGTCCAAGAGAGCCCTCGTGTGCAGGGCAGTGCTGTGGCTTCTCTGCTGACTCATGTCCAGATACTGCTGGTCACCTACAGCCCAAAGGGCTGGAGACACTGCCTCTGACCCTACCAATGCTTGAGCTACCAGCTGGGAGGCAGGGATAGCTAGGGACCAAGACATGAGAAACTTGGCAGGACTGTGCCATCTTCTGGATGCAGTGCATGGGACAGAGGGAGGTGAAGGTCTTGTCCCCTCTGAAGCCCTTTTTGTGCCCACAGAGCAGCTGAGAGTAGCTCAAATGTGGGTGTATCATCAGTGAGAGCACCTTCCATCCAGTGAGCACTGCTGATAACTAAAGCAGGATGGCTCTTGCCACCTCTCCACAGCTGAGGCAGCTGAAGCACAAAGGGAAGAGTAGGAGAGTTTCTCCAAGCTGAGGTCTGAACCCAGTCCAATACCTCCCACATCTCCTTGGGTCTTTGGGCTAAGGGGAACTTAGAAAGCTCAGCATTCTGGGACATGGAGGCTGGAGAGAGCTGCTGCCCTCTGGAGGTGGGAAGTGTTGGCAGGAGCAGCAGGACCCATGAGGTTACCAGCATCCTGGTGGAAAACACCAGTGCAGCTTTGAAAGTTGTACACGCTTCATTGTCTCAGTAAGAGAACTCCAGCTCTGGGCTCTTCTCAGTCCTGGGATGAAGGAAGCTACCTGCAACCCAAGAGTGATGTACAGGGAGCACCAGGGTCCTTGCCCTCCTGGCATTTCTCCTGGGGGTTCTCCAGCCAGAGACAGCATCGCTGGGAGTGTTTGGGAGTTGCCAGCAGAGGGAGATGGCCAGCCGCCTGCCGGGCTCCTCCAAATCTGGCACATTGTGCTTGAATCCTGTAATTGCTGTTCCTCTGGATTGTCTGTCCTGCCTGTCAGCAAGGTGTGCCAGCTCCTCTGACACTTGCTCTCCTGGCTGTGTATCTTCACTGCAGTTGAGTACTTGTGACTTCACATCTCAGAAATCTGACTGTGCTGACATTTTATACAAACATTTACAGAACATCAATTTGAGGTTCTGTGAACACAGGCTCTTTCTAGTCTGATAAATGCTCTGCAGTTCAGAAAAATTCTGTCTGTTTGGAAGTACCCTTTGGGCTTTCGTGGGTCCATATCTTTCTTAGCTTTCTTATCTTTCCATACCTTTCTTCCCCCTTTTCTTCATTAATTAGCATGGATTTTTTCCAGACCACTTATGGTGACATCTCGTTTTAGTGTTGATCCTAGTTTTTCCAGCTATCATCTAAAGAAGTGGCTGCACTGGCAGCCACAGTTGTCTGAGCTGCTCAGCACTCTCAAATTTTGGTGACTTTGGCAGCCATCAGCCTTAATATACCTCCATGTCCTTTTTTTCATTACAAGAATACCAACCTGCCTGCCTATCATAATGACAGGTATGACTCAGTGTCTGATCAGCATCCCACACATGAAGATCCTCATCCTGTAGGGGGACCATATTTTGCACATTGCCCTATGGAAATCTGAGTTCAGTTCTGCCAGTGAGACATCTGGTGAGCTGCAAGACTCTGGGCTGTGACTCGCATGCCTTGTGTTGCTGTGACATCAGGCTGCCCGCTTAGCACTGCTTAGACACTATGCCTGCTTGAATCATAGAATATGCTGAGTTGGAAGAGATTCATCAGGATCATCAAGTCCAGCTCTTGGCCCTGCACAGCACTACTCCAAGAATCACATCCACAAGCATTATCTGAATGCTTCTTGAACTCTGTCAGGCTTGCTGCTGTGACCACTTCCCTGCTCCAGTGCCCAACCACCCTCTGGGAGAAAAGCCTTTTCCTAACTTAAACCTGTTCCTTGAAGTATGGGTACTTCAGGTTTTCTCTTCTCCCTGCCAGCACCCCATCTCCACCTTCTCTCAGATGCTTCATATCCCTTATCTTCCCCAAGAGAGCTGGAGAAATTACTGCAGGACTTCCCACGGCAGACAGCCGGGAGCCCTTGTTGACAAAGAAGACATATTCAAGGATGGAAAACCCATGGGAAATATTTATACATTGGCTAAGTATGGTACAGAGGAACTGCTGGAAGTTTCAAGAGGTTTAGATAAATACTTTGAATCTCTACCAATATATGAAGCAGTGCCCAGGACCATTCCTAGTTCCTTTTAATGAAAGAGGTTGGCCTGCTTTTTGTCGGTGCCAGACAGCAGTCTGCCAGACTTCCCTGGACATGTCCCTGGTCTGCAGACAACAGACCATTCCCCATGGACTGTTTGCAGGCAGCCAAGCTTGGAAACAGGCCTTTCCATGCCAGTTGTTCTCTGCACGTGGAAGTGTGACTGAGATTTTTAATTTAATAGCATCAAGTCACTGGTAATTATGATAAAAATGACCTTAAAAAGGAGCAAAGTTTTTAAAGAAAATTGTCCCTAGGATAAAGCATTAAATCTTGGGAACTTGGGTGGTTGGACTATGTGTAGTTGTGTTAGACTATCAGCACTGAAGTTATGATTTAATGTTTTGGGTGTTTTTTTTAAAAAAAACCACCTCACTTTTTGGTCCTTTTATAGGGCTGGGGAGCAGAGTATCATCGCCAAGATGTTACAAGCACGCCTTGCTGGATTGAGATCCACCTGCATGGACCACTGCAATGGCTGGATAAGGTGCTGACACAGATGGGCTCACCTCACAACCCCATCTCCTCAGTCTCTTAAGAATCATCTCTAGAATTCCCTTAGGATGGATGCTATTGCAGGCAGTGGCTTATAGAATTCCCTTGAACAGAAGCTTCTATATGTAGATATATGTAGATGTAAATAGATCTATACATAGTCTACTCTTTTTTATTTTTTTTTTCATTTTGTGGTTTTTAGTTACTCTGATGCCAGTACAATAAGTTTAGAAATTTGGGTGTAGTATATCTGTTCTCTAGTACAAAATAAGCCAAATTCCTGCAAAAGTGTCAAACATTTCCTATGAGCATCTTCATTCCCCAGCCAAGCCAGTAAACGGTGCAAATTTCCAGCACTTTCACATGGGTTCAGAAACCTGCCTGTCGCTGTTCCTAGTAGGTGAAATTCACCCCTCTGCAGGCAACTGAAATCAGATCTCTGTGCCATTTATATTCATCTTACATCCTGATTTCAAGTCCAGAAGAGGACCTGAGGTGGTGCACAGGACTTATACATAGAGATGACTTTTATCTAGTGAACTGGAGGACTAAACTGCCATTCCAGTGTGTCTCCCTACTACAAAGCATGATGGGACAACAAATCCTCTGAAGAGCTGATGCACACTGTCTCTCCTGGGATTTGGCAGGAGGAGGGAGCATGTTCATCACAGGAACCTTATCTCAGAGCATTCTGGACAATCTGAGTAGTCTGATACTGCTAACATAGTAGGGTATGGTACTGCTGCACTGAAAAGCAACAAGCTTCTAAGAAAAAAATAATAATTTAAATATATGCCCATGAGTTAAAAAAACTAATTAACTTCCAGTGCTTTTTTGCAAAGTACATACATACTTGCATATGTGTCTGACATGTAAACTAAATCCTGTCCATTCTACAGTGTTGATGTAGTTTGTTTTAAAGTTAGAACTGTCTGTATTTAGACCGTTGTGCTGATACACATAAAGGGTGCAGCTAAAAGGGACTTGAACTGTGATTCAGAAAAGGGAAATGAATTGTGCATTGAAGAAGCAAATAATTACTTTTTCATTCATCTTGGGAACAGAAAGCCCCACACTCAAAGGATACAATGAGAAGGAGATGGGAGTCAGCCATGTCCATCCCCTGTACTGGGCCAGTCCTCGGGATCTGACAGCATTGCTCGGGTCTGACTGAGAGGGCTTCCCTGCCAGTCAGTCCATACATCCCTGTGGATGATTTATCATCTTAGGTACAGGCTTCTTCATTTGCTGAGCTTTTGCCTTGCCTGCAGAGGATGGTGAGGCATGGTGAAGCCATGAACAAGTAAAGAGTGAATCTATGTGCAGAACCTTGTCTGTGCTCCTTCTGTAAGCAGGGAAGCCTATTGCCCATACCCTAATCCCATCCTTGCAAAATGCTGTTCACTTGGAAACCTTTCCTGAGAAGACAGGTGAAACTCTTACGACATTTTGATGGTCTTTCCTTTTGATGAAAGAGTTGAGGATTATTTCTTTACAGGCATAACAGTCCACGAAAATTGTTTTTATTTAAGGGTCAGAAGGAGTGATAACATCTCCAAAATCATTCCTCCACAGAACAAGTAGAAATACTAATAGAAAAAAAAAAAAAGTCTTTTTCAGAAATTCTGTGTTTTTCAGAATATTTCTTTTCTTCTCACACAATATCTGGTGCAAGACATTTTGCTGCATAATTAGAAGAGGACTGCTGGAGTCTTCAGCTGTATCACACACGCAAAAGGAAATAATATTCACTGGAAAGACAGTGAGTAAACTAACAGTGTTACTTCCTTTGAATGCACCTTCAGCTGCCTGCAGCTTTAGCAGGGCACAGAAGAAAAAATTGTTGTTAAGTCTGAGCAGTAATAGCAAGTTGTGTAGGAAATTTGTAAGTGCAAAGAACTCCATTCTGTCACCATTTGATGTCAGCAGTGTCACTGTGAGACAGAAAAAGCTTTACAGTCTCTTTCAGCAATGAAATCCAATAACAATAATAATCATATACAGAAATTCCAGATGTGCCATCTACTATTCAGCAGACTTTAGAGACATCAAAAGTTTGGAAAAGTGCATTTTCCTTAGCTCTCTCTGTCATAAGTGATCAGATACTGGTATTTTTTAGCGTGATTTTTTGCCTCTCTTCTCCGGTTGCACCTTTACTCCAGGATGAGCACCTTCTGATTTTGCTCATTCATTTTTTTTTTTTTAGCAGCTAAAGACAGAATAAATCACCTTTACTGTCCAGGATCTAGCTCTGTCCCTTATCCTAGATTCTTCCTTGCCTTTTAGGCTGAAGCCTCCTTCCCTTTTAATACAGAGAGAAGCCTAGGAGATCATTTTAGACATTCCCAGCATTGTCATCTTCCTCACAGAGAGCAAAGGGAAATGTTCTGAGGTGCATCTGCTCTTGGGCAGCTTCAGAACTCAGTTTTCTGTCCAGGCTGCAGAGAAAAGTTGGATGGTCAGTGAAGAGAAGCAATTTCTTCTGAGGCATTATTTTTTTCATCACAAGGTATTTCAAGCAGGTGAAATGCACTCCTATCTGAGCATGCTTGTGTCTTCCCAGTGAGTATAAGGGGAACTCAGGGTCATTAGCTGAAATGCAGTCTGCTACACTGGATGTATTAAAAAATAGATGAGGGGAACCCTAATGAAGGTGTGGTGACTTTCTCAGCCTAGTAATGATGCTTCCTCAGTAAGTGTATGTTTGGTTTAAATGGAATTTGGTCAACTTAGAGCAGTTTTTCCTTTATGTCTACCTTTAATCATTTTACAAATAGGATTTGGCTTCCATGTAGCCCATACATGCATCTCATTTAAGGTAGTCATTTTAATAATTGCCTTACTAATAAGAAAAGAGGCATTTCTGGAGCATGATTTTTCTGACCCATTTAAAACACTTGTATTATAATGAGATGAATTTCAGCAAATTTAACTATTTGCTGAAAACTGGATCAAAGCACTCGATTCTGGGCAATTCTGGCAACAGCCATCTGTTTTCAGCCTTTGGGAAGGCTGATACCACTGTGTCAGTTGTTTGCTATTCTGATGGTTTCTGGGGGTTTAGCCCACTGTGCTGTGCACACACAGAAGATGACAGCTCCTCCCCAAAGCCCACTGTACATGGGAGGAGTGGTAACAGTGGATGAGACAAAAAAGTAAGTAAGATGTCCCCTGCCCAGATGCAGAGATAAAAAAGTAAGGCTAATAAACCATTTATTTCCCTTTCTCTTTTAACAAAGTTTCTTCTACTGGCGTCTCTAATATATATGAATTGCAATTGGTTAAAATTCAGGTTTCTTATAATTTACAGCAATATAACTTTGTATCTCTAATGTCTTCTCCACTTTGGAAGAAGATAATTTCTGCTCAAAGGTCTTCATGAACCTTTAAACCTGTAGTCAGTTTATGGTCTTTATAAATGTTCTACTCATTAATGCTTAGGCTTTGAAGACAATCTTCTTGAGAGATTTAAAACCACTTACAGCAAGACTACTTAGTTGAAGGCAGATTTTTAAAATGGGTTTTTTTGAGTCATCAACAGTTCATAGCCTCTTAAAAGTTTCTGTGGAGGAGTACCATGCATCAGCAGGCAGCAGTGGGAGCTTTGGAGGCAGAAGCATAAAGCACATTCAGCATGGTACATACACTTGTTTCCCTATTAAATAGTCGAGAGATTACTTCAGCTGCTGCCAGTTCTTCAGCACCACCAGTATTAATGTGCTGTTTGCATCCAGAGGTGACGGGAGCAAATCTTACACCCTGACTACCTGGAGCCATTCCATGGCACTGCTGCTTGGGTGGCCCAGTCCCATCCCCTTGCCTAGGAAAAGCTGCCCAGGTACGGCACAGCAGTGACTGTAGCATTGCAAGGTGTGGTTTGTGCTTGCCCTCCCCATCAGCTGGGATTCCACTAATGTCTTTACTCCTCATCAGAATGCTTCAGTCTGTAGGGTAATGTATCAGAAGCATAAAGGAAACTGTGGCCCAAAGTAGCATCAGCTGGAGCTGAGGAAATCCCTTCCATGTCTACAGCGGGTACTGTGTCAAGACTTTCACTGCCCTGAGCAGCCTTGTCTAAGCAGTCCCTGTCTGGAGCAGGGTGTCAAACTTGATGTCATGGTGAGATCCCTTCCAATATACATCATCCTCTGGGTCTCTTTCGAGATTCAGTGATAACTGGTTGCCACAGGACGGGGCTCTCTGTTAGCAGCACTTTCAGGATGAAACATGTTTCTCCTCAGCCATTTAATATTAGTGTTCCCTCAGCATAAAATCAGCACTACAAACATCTCTCGCTGTAAACACATCTTCACCACACCCCTCTTAAAATGCAGAAAACAAGGCATTTGTGACTGTAACCTTATCTAATCTGCCCTTGTTCTTCCTGACTTACAACACCCACCTTTGTCTATCAGCTCTACAAATGAATCTCACCAGTGACTAAGGAGTTGCACAAACAGCTGGATTTACAGAGGTAGCTCAGGCAGAGACTTTGCTTCTTGACTGCATGAAAACAACTAATAAAAAAACCCTGATCAATTTAAGAACTTTAAAGGGGTATCACGTATAAAACTAATGTTCTTGGATCAAGACTGCTCTGGTACAACTGTAACTTTAAGGAATACTTTAGCACTACATAGTACTTAGCAAAGGAAAGAAACATTACATCCTCTGTACTATTCACGCCTTCCCCTGGCTCCCCATAACCTAACTTAGTACAAGCAAAATCAAACACAAAAAAAGATCAATGAGTCATAAGGCTGAGCAATTAAATACCATTTTTCAAAGTTGAGCAGTGCTGTCTAAAATGTAGATTTATATCACGAGAAGGCCATAGGACAAGTGGGTAATGGCTTTATGAAAGAGGGTAGTTTTATTTAAGATATTAGGCAGAAATTCTTCATTGTGAAGGTGGGGAGACACTGGCACAGGAAAAGCTATCCCAGAGAATTTGTGGATGCCCTGTCTCCGGAATTGTTCAAGGCCAGTTTGGATGGGGCTTTGAGTAACCTGATCTACAGGAGGGTGTCCTTGCCCATGGCAGGAGGTTGGGACTTATCATCTTTAAAGATAATCAAACTATTTGATGGAAATGATGTCCCAGATGCCCGCCAAGCCAGAAACAAAACTTCCTTGCTCTGGAGAAACCTGGAGAACCAGCTGTTACTTGAACATCTGAACTCAAGCCCTTCTGAGTGGAGACCTCAATGAAGGGGCTGAGAAAATTTTTATAAAGGATTTATAGTTCATGGGTGTTCCAGTAGCCAGAAGTGCACTGAGATGATGAAGAGACTGAGGAGGAGGAGGGAGCATACAACCAGATAAGCCCAGTGGTCATCACTGGAGGTATAAGGCAGTACACGCTCAGGCAGCCACTCAAGGCCTGTTTTAGGAACAGCTTGCAGTACCACAATCCTTGCTTGGGTTTTTCCTACACACCTGGCCTGGGAGAATGTGCCAGCTTCCTGATGAAACCATCCGATGTAGTGGGGCAGATGGTGTCCCATGTGCTCCAGAGAGTACGATCTTGTTGCATTTGGGAACCGCACTTGGAAGATTATCCTCTGCCTCGCCTCAAGACTAATGAGGAGCTCAGCACTCAGTACTGGGGCACTGTCCAAGGACACATCCAGTATGTGCTCATCAAAGAAAGATGCAATCTGAACA